GTGAGGGTAAGGGGTGAGTGGGCGGGATGAGAGGGGAGTGGGGGGGGAGTAGAGGAAGGGGAGGGGGGGATCAGGAGGAAGGGTTCTGGCGAGGAGGAAGAGTGAGCGGGAAGGGAGGGTGAGGGAGACAAGGGGGGATTGGTGGTGGATGTTGAGGGGAGGTGAGAGAGGAAAAGGGGGATGGCGGAATCGAGGTGGATAGGGTAGGAGTGAAGAAGGGATGGAGATGGGATGAGGGGCAGGGGGGGATAGTAGCGGGAAGGGGAGGGGAAAGAGGTGAGGGGGAAGGGGAGTGTAGGAGTGAGGAGAAGGGGGAGGGAGTAGGTGGGAGGAGGGGAGGGTGAGGCTGGTGAGGAAAGGGGGAGGGGATGGATGAGGGAGGGGTCGTAGTGAGTGCATAGGGGTAAAGGCGGGAGTGAGTTAGGATGAATTAGGGTGGGAGTGGGTAGGTATCGTGAGGGGCAGGGGTGGGGATTGGCGGGGTTAGGTGAAGGGGAAGTGAGTAGGAGTGGAGAATTAGTGGGAGTGCAGGAGTGGGGTGGTGAGTGGGAAGAGGTAAGGAGTGTTGTACGTGAGGGGGATGGGGTTTGGTGAGGAAGGAGTGAGACGGGGATGTGGGGAACGAGTTTAGAAAAGGGGAGATAGATGGGTGAAGGGAATGTAGTTGGAATGACGGAAAGAGGGAGGATAAGAATAGCTGGGCAGAGAGAAGTAGAATTTATAGAAGGGAAATGATGTGTAGAGGAGCCGAGAGAGGACAAGGGAGTAGATAGAAGGATTAGGGGACAGAATATAGGCTGGAGTGAGAAAAATATGTTCATGAGACGCAAATAGAATGGGGAGTGGGAGAGGGAAACCGAAAGGAGAGATATGGGGAGAAAAAGATGTCCAGCAAAGAGTGGCTGAGAAAAGAGGGAAAGCGGATGGAAAGGAGGCATGAAGAATACCAAAAAATCACCAGTGAGACCCAAGAGAAAGAAAAGGAAGGAGTGGGAAAAGGAGAAATAGGGAAGCCCGAGAGAAATAGCGGATAGAAAAAGACAGGAAAGAGAAAGCAAAATGAAAATAGAATTATCCCCAGACCAGATCCCACCCACCACCCACCCAGCTCTGAACTGTACTCCTTAATCACTGCTATTGCATTCATCAGAAAGGAGTTGACGGGAGACCAGTATGGTAGAGGGAGAGAGGAGAGAGGAGAGGGAGAGGGAAAGAGGAGAGAAAGAGAGGGAGAGAGAATGAGAGAGGGTGGGGGAGAAAGAAAAGAGGAGAAGAGACAAATATATTGAGTGGACTAAGGAGAGAGAAAGATGAAGAAGTAAGTAAGTATACTTGAGTTTAGGAGAGTAGGTGAAGAGAGAGATAGAAAGAAAGAACAAGGATGGCGAGAAGTGCTGAGAAATATAGATATTTAGATATTAAAAAAAGATTATAAAGAGGAAGAGGAGAGGTGAAACGGGGGAGAGGAAGTGGAGAGAGAGAGAGAAGAAGAAGAGAAGAAGAGAAGAGGGGGGGAGAGGTTTGGAAAGGAGGAGAGAGAGAGAGAAAGAGAAAAGGAAAAGAGAAGAAAAAAGTAGATAATGAGTAAGGGGAGGGTGGGGGGAGAAGAAGAGGATAGAAAAGATAGAGATAGCAAGGGAGAGCGAGCGAAAGATAGATATTTAGATATTAAAGAAAAGGGGAACCGCCCTCCGGACACAGAAGAGGAGAGCAGATATATGACGAGACGACCGAAGACACACGAACAGAGAAATGATGACGAGAAGACGTAAGAGAACCACGCACACAACACCCACCACTTTAGAGATCCGAGAGACGCACCTTGATCGGAGAGAGAGAGGAGGAGGCAGAGCACGAGAGCCGATGGGAGGAGCAGTGAGAGAGGAGAGAGAGAGAAGAGAGAGAGAGAGAGAGCGAGAGACGAAGAGAGAGAAGAGAGAGAGAGAGAGAGAGAGAGAGAGAGAGGAGAGAGAGAGAGAGAGAGAGAGAGAGAGAGAGAAGAGAGAGAGAGAGAGAGAGAGAGAGAGAAGAGAGAGAGAGAGAGAGAGAGAGAGAGGAGAGAGAGAGAGAGAGAGAGAGAGAGAGCGATGAGAGCGAGAGACGAGAGCGAGAGAGAGAGAGAGAGAGAGAGAGAAAGAGAGAGACGGATAGCATGGTGGATCTCTCCGTCCCGCAGAGAACCAGGACTGAAGCCAAGCCCCTGAGTCGTCCCAGTAAGACCAGCCGTCAACAGAGATTCCAAAGCATTTTAAAACCACAACCTTTTATTTTGATTTCCCAACCCGCTTAGGCGCGGTTAATTGGACTTCACCCGAATGATTAACAATGGCGATTTTTATACCTCCTTCCCCTAAGAAAAAAGAAAAAAAAGTTTTAAAAAAGGAGTTCTTTCGTACGAAACAAAAGAGACGAAACCACTGTAGATTTTCCATGAAACAAAGACTTTCAGTCCTACGGTTTCATGCCCTTAGGCCCCTCACCCCCCCCCTCCCCTCCCCGCTGCTTAGAAAGGGGGATTAGCGTGAATGGACAGGGGGGGGGGAGGGGGAGGAAGAGAAAGAGGGAGAGGGAGAGAAAGAGAGAGAGAGAGAGAGGAGAGGGAGAAGAGAGGGAGGAGAGAGAGAGATAGGGAAAGGAAGAGAGAGAGGAGGGGAAGGTAAAGAGTGATAGATGGAAAGGAAAAGAGAGAAGAAGAGGGGGGATGAGAGAAAGAGGGAAGGAGAGAGAAAGGGGGGAGAGAAAGAGAGAGAGAGGGAGAGAGGAGAGAAAGGGAGAGAGGAAGGGAAGAGAGAATGAGAGGGGAGGGAGAGAATTAGAGAGAGGTAGATAGATAGATAGATTGATAGATAGATAAATAGATAGAAAGAGAGAGAGGATAAGGAGAGGGAGATAGATAGATAGAGAGAATGAGAGGGAGAGAGAAAGAGAGAGGGAGATAAAGATTTATAGATAGATGGATTGAGAGATAAAAAAAGATTAAATTTCTTTCAATCACATGAAATGTTGTTTACCCCACAGCTAACTACACTTAGTCTTGGCTAGTATGAAGTACATGATGCCGTATATAGATAAATAATATGCTTAAATAGAAAGACTTTAGAATATTTGTTTTTCTCCAAGAAAAATGTAAAAATTCAATCGCTGATCATGGGAATATTTAAATCGTTGGTTAGACGGATCTGAGATAGAAGCACAAGTGAAGGAATAGGAAAATATCTAAAACAAGCAACAAATTTTCTCCCTCTAGAGTAATCTACCTTCCCAGATTAGGAAACATCGCCACGCCAGTAAGGATGAGAGTAATCATCCTCTTAAAACGTACACATCTGAATCACGAGCGAAAATAGCAGCCTGGTCATATTTACCCCCAAAAAACTCCAAAGGCAATATTAGTTTCTCAAAAAAAAAATAATAAAATAAATAAAAAAAATCCAAAGGCAATATTAGTTTCGAGATTTTCCCTGAACAGAAAGGGTACGAAGGAGAACGATTGTCTTCACAGTACGAGAGACATTTAACCGGTTTTCGAATATATTAGAAACCGGTTTATTACATTTTTTGTATTGTGAAGATCGTCATTCTCATCCATACCTTCCTACTCTCTTCGACGGGACGAAAAGTTTCCTTGTTTCCTTCTTCCCTAAAACCTGGCGATATTCCGACGAGAGTCCGAGTCCCGCCTGGAAAAGGGTGGCTGGCCGGCGGTGTCAGGGCTGGGTGGCTGGCTCTTCAACCGAGGTCGTGTGTAGATGGATAGAGAGACAGGCAGACAGACATCAAGAGAGAGAAAGAGAGGAGAGCGACAGAGAGGGAGAGAGAGAGAGAGAGAGAGAGAGAGGGAAAGAGAGAGGGAGGGATGGAGAGAAAGAGAATGTAAAAAACAAAAATGTATGTACACATTTTACTAATGTGTGAACACACACATACAAACATGACAACCGTTAGGAACGAGTCTAAATACAAGAAAAGATTATATTATAGACTCCCGATTACCTCGGTACGCCGTGCATAAGACGCTTGTGCATAAGGCTCCTTTTACACGCATCGATCTGTCGCCTCCTCGCTGGTCCCACGATTTTTTAATGGGCTTCTCTCAACGGCGACCCGCGTCCTCTCCTTGCCTGCTGCCGGACCGCCAAGTGCGTTGCTTGCCCTCGGAAATGGCAAAAATGGGATCGTTATGAATNCCATGAAATGTGTGAAAATAAATTAAAATTAAATTTGAACTTATTTCGAGTAATTGTAACGACGTAGAAGATACACACTGATTATAAAAAAAGAAAAAAAGAGAAAAAAAAACAATAAACAAATATTTACAAATATCAATAAGCTTTCGGCAAAATCGAATTATCTACTCTCCTTTTTGTCTTTTCCTTACAGTAAATTTTAATTTTAAAAATTAAAATGCGTCAATATCACCTTGTCAGTGTGACGCAATTCTCCTCTGTCATTTGATACGTTTTTTATTTTTTTTATTTGTTTCTATATGTTTTTATATGTTTTTTATATGTTTTATATATGTTTTATGTTTTTTATATGTTTTTATATATGTTTTTTATATGTTTTTAATGTAAGTTTTATATATTGTTTTATATGTTTTATATGTTTTTATATATGTTTTATATGTTTTTTTATTATATGTTTATATGTTTTTATATATGTTTTTTATGTTTTTATATGTTTTTATGTTTTTATATGTTTTTTCCTATGTTTTTTTTGTTTATATGTTTTTATATGTTTTTATATATGTTTTTATATATGTTTTTTATGTTTTTATATGTGTTTTTATACGTTTTACCGACACTGATCTCAAAAGCTCATTACTTGATTTGTGAAGAGTTGTATTGTGTTCACAGAAAACTCTCATTACTGATCGAGCTGTAGGTCTCAGATACTATATG